CAGTGGGACGATGTGGAGAGCTTTCTGCCAGAAAGCGTATATAAACCTGGTAACGAAATACCTAGAGAGTTTGTACCACCTGAAACAAAGGAGGGCGATACAATCAAGATTGGAGTTGGTGAAGTGTTTGATTTGTCCAAGTTTTGGGTATATTTAGATGATGGAAATTTGGACAATCTCATGGATGAATTGCAGTATGTTTTTTGGTTCCAGTATATTTTACGCAAATATTGACATTCGGATAAATCGTAGCTTAGTTATCTCTAAATCATATTCAAGTAACTTTTAGGCCACATCAGAAGTACGAGGGATGTCTTTTAAGTTTTGCATATAGAAACATATTAGGCCGCGCGGATCGAACGTCAGTACTGAATCTTAACCTTACTCTTTAGTAAACTTAAAATCAAAGTTTCACAGCAATACGTGCAGTGTTTTCACTACTACTACATTTTTAAGTGTCACCAAGACATTAGAAAATGGAACTCAACCGAGAACATTTTCGCGCCATAATTTATTACAACTTTCAGAGACAATTATCGCAACAAGAATGCCTTGCTGAGTTACTGTCTGTTTTCGGCAACGAAGCGCCACATCAGTCGACAATTTCCCGTTGGTATGGAGAATTCAAACGTGGACGGGTGAGTCTTAGCGACGATCCCAGGGTGGGTGCACCAAGAACTGCAGTCACCCAGGAAAACGTCGATGCTGTGCGCAAACTCATTATTGAAGATAGACATGTGATATATCGCGAGATTGAGGCGTCCTTGAAGATCTCAAAGACCTCAATTCAAAAAATTTTACATGAAGAATTAGGAGGAAGAAAATTAGTTTCTCGTTGGATACCCCACCTGTTGACTGAAGAGCAGAAAGCAGCCAGGGTTAATTGGTGTCAAAAAACGCTTGACCGTTTCAATTCCGCAAACTCAAAAAATGTGTACAGCATTTTTAGTGGTGATGAATCGTGGATTTACTGTTATGAACCAGAAAATAAACGACAGTCGGCTGTTTGGGTGTTCCAAGGTGAAGTGTTTCGAAAAAGATGGTTGCGACATTTGTATCATATTGCAACAATTCCTCTTAATGAGCAAAGAACTGTTACTGCGGATTGGTATACCACCATTTGCTTGCCAAAAGTCATCACCGAGCTTCGAAAAATCAATCCCGAAAGAAGAATCATCCTCCACCAAGACAATGCAAGCTCGCATACAGCCCAAAAAACAAGGCAGTATTTAACGGAAGAAAACGTGGAATTATTGGACCATCCTCCATATAGTCCCGATCTAAGTCCTAACGATTTCTTTACTTTCCCGAAAATTAAAAACAGACTGCGTGGTCAAAGGTTAAAGTCACCAGAAGAAGCAGTTGACGCATTCAAAAATGCCGTTTTGGATCTGCCAGCAAACGAGTGGAATAAGTGCTTCGAAAATTGGTTCGAGCGCATACAGATGTGTAGTCTTCGTGGAGAATACTTCGAAAAACAATAGTCATTAAAACTACCTACCATGTTGTTTTACTTCCATATGCAAAACTTAAAAGACATCCCTCGTAACATAAGCCTAACCTGTATTTGTTTTGATGCGGCGAACATGACAATGAATATAATGCAGAATGTTTTCATTTTAGGGATTTCTATGCAACAAATGCCTCACGATACTCGATGAAAGTTTGATAAGAGAAGGGGTCTACTGTGCAAAAATTATTTATGGAGAGTATCATAGGGCAGTCATTGTTGATGTTTTACCCGAGGTCAAAGATAGTATAAAGGCAAGTATTCATGAAATTACCTAAAAAAAACATTTTAGCAAAGCTACTTTATATTACTGTTTAATTTGATATAAACCCTTTTTTCCATTTCTGCAAAATGATTTACCAGTACAGTGAGATTTCTTTTTGGTAGAAATTACCTCTAATGACTTGTCACAATTATTGCATAGGGTCTTTCCATTGCGTTTTAAGTAAGAGGTGTGCGCGGGAATCCAATGAATGTTCGCGAAACAAAAATTTTGAAGAAGTTTTGACTCAAAGTTACTAATTTGCCAAGGAAGAATAAACGTTGTAGGCTTTGAAAACCGATCAAGTGACCGTGAAGCTACAGCCAAAAAATAGAAAAACAAAAATTGCCGAAACTTCGTTTTTTGAGGTTTCAAACACACAGCTCATTTTCAGATTTTTTTGGTGGGATTTGAAAATTGCGGTTTGTAGTACTTAGTCAAGCTTCGATTTCATTTGAGCCTTTTGAATACACTTGACCCATTTTTTATAGATGTGCATAGTTAACTTTTAGAGGGACCTTCGTTTCAGCAGCTATTGCAAGCCAGGCTCTTACATACTGTAACCATTGATTAACGAATTCTGCAGTCTGGAACCGAAACGGAAGAGAGTAACAGCACATTGTACGCCACTGTTATCGCGCGTCTTTGAATAGGGCTTGGATCCGCGCTCATCGTTTTTGCCTATTCAAAGGCATGTCGCTCTACTCTCTTCCATTTTGGTACTAGGGTATACTTGAAAATAACCAACCAGTGCCCAGAACGGGATCTGAAAGATCACAGCACCATCTATGATACAGTAGCAGAACACAAGTATGAATTTAGAAATATCCATTGACGGTAAAGTGTTTGGTTCTATGACTCTGGTCTTATAGATAGTGTAGGATCTTCAATATCTTTTTGGCACCTCTCTAATACCTATTTTATTGGGTATCTCCAGGTGAAATACCAAATTAAAATAAGCATTGGGGAGGTGCCAACAAGGGATTGAACATTCTAGCGCCATCTTGGTCATTAGCAGAACCAAACAGTAACTCTTTTCAAAGTAGGTTTCTAAATTCATTTCTGTGTTTTGCTTCTGTTTGATAGATTGGCGCTAGGATTATTCAGGTGCCTTTTTTGTTCGCCAGAATACAGTATATGAGTGGCTATCTGCAAGTAGAATAAGTTGATCAATGCTGTTATATAAAAAAAAACATTGCAATTATATTGAGTGTATTAGAAATCTGTTTCAAGTAGGTTGACTCTATATCTCAAATGCAGTTTTTTTGGTCGTTTTTTTCTAATCCGAACATAACCTTATTGATGACGGGTTTGCGTGGAAAGTATCGAGTCTACTTGACCCATTTTTATCATCAGGTGTTCTTCATTGATTACGGTACGATGACCAAAGTACCAATCAAGGACATCTGTTTCTTACACGAGAGGTTCGCTGAGCTGCCAGCGCAAGCGATCCGGTGTCGCTTGGCCGACATTTGCCCGACACAAGAATGCGTGCCTTGGAGTCATGACGCCACTGTAACGTTCAGAAACATGACCAGGGATCGAACCATCGATGCTAAAGTGGCTAGGATAAACAGGAAGGTGAGTGGATAGTCGTTTTATTCAAGATTTTAGTGCTCTTTTTTGCTACCTCACTTATTTTGATTTTGCGAAGTTGCGCGAGACTAGCGGGACAATCCTCCTATTTTATTTTGAAACTTATGGTATCTCGGCCCTTCACGAATGATCTAATTTGTTTTATTTTCATTTTTACGAAAACAATGCACTCTAGGAAAAAACACAAGAGTAATTATTTGTAGTCAATTGAAACTTCGAAAAATTACGCGTTTCGAAAAAAAAAACAGTGGCGTACTTTTTACATATACTAAGTGACATATAAATCCGAACACCCAGTTTTAATGGTTTTATTTTAATAAAAGTTGGTGAATGTATTTATCTTACTGTAAATAACATGTGAAAAAATTTCAGCCTTATCAGTTGGACATTCCGGTTTTTATACTGCTTTTTTTAATTCATTAACTTTGGTTCTTGACATCCTTTACGATCGGTTACGATGTCTAGAGTACGGAATCCTGTACGATTTCGTCAACTTCGTGAGTTTGATAGGGGCCGTATAGTGGGACTTCGGGAAGCTGGACTTTGTTTCGGGCAATTGCAGTTAGAGTGCAAAGAAGTGTAGACACTGTGGTTAGGTGTTGTCAGGCATGGCTTCGAGAAGGCCGTACGCAAAGAGCAAGTGGCAACTGGACGCCGCGTAGAATAACAGACCGTGAGATCGCCGCCTAGATTATTGGCCTTAAGGAGCGTTCTTCTTTCCACTACCAGGTCCATTGCAAATGAATGGTTTGCAGAACACGGAAGACCTATTGGCATGCGAAGTGTTTACCGACGAATGAGAAGTTTTGGCTTGTTTTCATACCGGCCCTTTAACTCGAGAACACCGACGTAATCACCTTGAGTGGTGCAGACAACGGTCACTCTGGGATCAGGAATGGAACAGTATTGTCTTTAGTGACGAGTCTCGATTTTGTTTAGGCATGCACGATGGTCGTGCCAGGGTTAGAAGGCGACGTGGTGAAAGGAGGAATCCACAGTTTTTTGTTGAAAGACATGTTCATCACACTGTTGGAGTTATGGTTTGGGGTGCTATAGCTTACGGTTCCAGGTCACCTTTAATCTTCATCAGAGGCAACATGAACGCGCAGCGTTATATCCACGAAGTTCTAGAACCCCATCTTTTACCCTATCTTGACACCCTGGCAGATCCAACTTTCCAACAAGATAATGCCCGACCACATGTTGCAAGAGTCACAATAGACTTCTTTCAACATAATGATGTCACATTGTTACCATGGCCACCAAGATCTCCCGACTTATCCCAATTGAGCATGTGTGGGATATGATGGGTAGGAGATTGCTCAATTTGCAACGTCCTCCTCAGACTCTAGAAGCACTTCGAGAGGAGTTGGTGGTTGCCTGGAATGAGATACCACAGGAGGACATTGACCACCTGATCGGAAGCATGCCTAGGCGCGTTGGAGAATGCGTAGCACATCAGGGTGCATCCACACATTATTAAAGGTCAAAGGGCTTTAAAGCAGTGCAATCATATTGAAATTTTATCATTTACTTATTATGCTTCATTAAGTACTTGTACAAAATTTTATTAAAATAAAAACATTTAAACTGGGTGTTCGGATTTATATGTCACTTAGTATATTTGGAAAAATAATGTCACTAATTACCTGTATCTCCGCCACTGTGCCCGTTAATTGTAAATAAAGACTTTTGAATGTGGACAATACTTAGGTAAATCCGCATACCAAATTTTAGTTCATTACAGTTGATGGTTTTGAAGATATGAAAAAAAAGTTTTTGTGAATCACCCTGTATAATAAATACATCATGACCAACGAATACGAAAATATTAGGAGCCAAGTCTATAATTTACAATGCGTTGTTGTCGACAAAATTGTGTAGTTTTAGTGCATAGTGATTCATTTGTCTACCAATGCCTGCCAAAGTGACAGCATTGTATCAACATAAAAATAACCTAGTGGTGGAAATTTGCCTTCATTGGTCTTGTGCTTCTCTTTGCAAACTATGTAAGAAGTTCCATGTCCTGAAATCGTCTTACACCACAATTATCTGCAAACACTCGCACTTTTCAAAAAATAACACAAAATATAAGAAATTAATGACAGAACCGCGAAAATTTACTTATGTCAAGTGCACTGTGATTCTTACTACATACTATGAGAATTAGGAGACACACAAATCCATGACTGACTCCATCTATCTAGTCTAAATTCGTTGATTGGCTAAGTGCCCCCCATCACTCAAACGCTGCTAGAAATAATAGCTTCATCAGTCTTCTTCTCACCGATTTCAGACTACAAAGTTTATCGTTTCAGGAACAAATTCTGGAAGTGTACCTGATCGACGTCACCAATCCATCCAAGCCATTTTGCATCAACACAAGATTGGTAGAACTTGGACTAGCCACATACCCCGATCAGGTAATAATCGAAACCACGCGTCCAGTTAAGGAGAGCAAAAGAAAAGTGTTTCTTAGGCTGTTGGCTGAGAAGCGAAAGTCTAGGCTGAGTGAGACAGAGTGGCAAGGAGATTAGTGTGTGTATGTTCACTAACATATGGTATTGTTTCATATGTTTAAGCTGGTTTGTACCCATTTACATATTGTGCTGTGTGCTATACAAACACTTAGCTTAGCCATGGTGTAAACCTTCGAGGCAATTTCAAGGTCAAATCAAGACGTTGAAAAAAATTTTCTCTAGCAAAAACGTTCGACGATCACCTTCACGGTTATGGCCAAACATTTACACCTTAAATATAAAATTTTTTGGCCTCTGGAATTTTAGCATAAAAATCAAGGGGTTGTGTTACAATAACATTTAAGATCGACATGACCTTGACTTGGAGGTCAAGGACACATTCGGACGTAACTGCTGCTTTTCCAATGCCAGGATTAAAATGATGGGTTCCTTTGAACATTTTGACTCAAACTTTGGTCATGGTCAAGATGATGGTCACGGTCATAAGTGTGCTGTCGAACATTTTTGCCAGAGCGTGAAACGGCCTCGAAGGTGATTGTTGTGTTCATCGTCAAGGTCATATTCAGATGTTGGCTTTCGTCCTCTTTCCAAATCTGGGGTTCCATTTGAAATTATATGTTTAACCTTGAAATGAACTTGAAGTTCGTGGTGCAGGTCACCATAGTTTTGCTTACTCGGAATCCTACATCTTGTTGCCAAATGCCAAAGAAAGCAAAAAACCACATAGAACTGTTGTTGCAACATACTTCACAAGAAAAACAACATGGTGTCCTTGAGGTGTCGAAGTACTATTTTAAACATTTTTTTTTGCATAAGAGTCGACCGGAATATAAAATATGTTATCATTATTTGTATGAATAAGTTTCAAGTGGTACAAGAAAATGCCGTTTCACATGAACAGCTGGCACGTCCCTTTTTTTAGATTTTTTTTGAACTTGCTGTTTGCAGCAGTATTCTAAATCCTTTTCATCTGATAATTTCATGGTGTGTATAGATATGACTAAAAAACAATGTTTTCATTTTTTTTTGTCAAAAAATTCATTTTTTGTGCATTTTATTTTTATTTATCTTATTTTTCTTCAATCAGAATTTGTTAACAAATATAGGTACAACTCTGAAATTGTTTGTGAATATTCATCTTTTATGGAAGAATGAGACGAGTGATTACTTTCGTTGTTATCACTTTTCCTTTTCAAAAAATCTTTGCTTTTCTTGAAAACTCAACTTGCTTTTATATAACTTGACCTGTTTGTATGTTAGTATGTCAGAATGTATGTGTGGGATAAATCTTGGAACTGAATTCTGAATCATTTAACCTTAACCAATTGAGCTGAAATTTTGTACACACTTCTGGTTCGCGTGAAAATAAAAATAAATTAGCTGCCGCTATTTTGAATCCAAGATGGCGATTCATCACTTCCATAGTAACACCTATCATATGGGTACACGTGAAGCGGCTTGATCAGAGAAACACAGTTAGCAATGTGCTGTCATGCTAAATCCAATATGGTGATTATAATTACCATAGTCACCCCTATGATATAGGTAACAAAATTAAAGGGCTTTATGAAAGAAACAGCAATCGAATCAGTAAATGGAACGATTTGGTCATTAGATGAAATCAGTGCCGGGTGCTCTGCTGTTCGATTTTCGTCCGCGGGCGCGCTTGACGTCACGCGGAGAGTGATTATCATTTGGGTTAATGTGGAAAACGTGCATATTTTCACCTACAGCTCAAACGGCTTGATAGATTTTCACATATGAGCTGTTGTTGGATAGAAACAAAATGGCGGATTTTCAACCTTGTAATTTCTTCTCACAGGCTATAGCTTAAACGGCTTTCTAGCTCCACAATAGAGCGTGTATCCTCACTTTACTCTAAAAACAAGATTTTTCTACATTACCTATATTTTAGTATGTTCTGTGGAGCAGGATTAACATGCTCATGACGCTAATACTGCACTACATTTATTCATCCTTACTTTACAGAACATCCTAAGTACTAACTACATGCAAGTGTGAAAATGTACGCAACTCAAAAAGTAGAAAAATGGAGTTATCATCTTTTTGCAGTAAGCTGGCAGTATAACAATAAGTGGCAATTTCTTAGTCTAAGCCACAATTTTCCATCCATTTCCTTCCACGATTTTTCTGGTCTTTTAACTTTTACTCAGTTGTTTAATCCGGAACAACATCCTTGACCTGAAAAATAGTTTCTTAGCTTTTTCATGGCAGTCAATGTTGGTGCTTTTCAACAGAAGTTCGCCTATAAAATCTTGCTTGTCTGTCACTATTCCGTCCCCATTGAATGTAGTAAACACCTTGTTAAGCTTCTCAATTTGATTCATGGAAGCTGTGGAAGGTTTTGATAATCCATTCTCACTAAGATGGTCTATCCACGAGTAAGTTTCATTTGAGGAACTTTTCAACCTGTCATCCTGCAATTTATGGCAAACAAAGCCGGCCAAATTTTTCAGCCCATCATACTCGAGCTCATCCATTTCTTCCCTTAAAACTTCCTCGTTATAGTCAACTGATACTTCAGGTGCATTCAGTTTATTCGTTAATGATGCGGTTCGTGGAATGTACGGAGTATCCTCTCCCTGTACGCTGCAATACTCTAAGTATGCGTCTCGTTTCGCCCCAAAATATATGACCTTATTCTATACTTAAACTCTAGGGGATAAGTTGAGCCCTTTGCCTTTTTTCGTAAGCATTTTTCCGCTTTCCCCATCAACAGATGTACATGGTCTAGGTGCCACCCTAACGCTTTTTACATTGACTTTGATTTTTCTTTTGTATTATGTAGCCATTTTTTGCTAAGGTTTGGGTCTTGAAGAAAACTGTGGAACTTCATGTCTTTGCAAGGATTCCGTGTAGATTGGTTGTCGGAATTACATCCCACAACAGCACACCGCATTTTTATCAATTTACTAGCATCAAAGGGCATATAGAGTATGTATAACTAATTTAACAAGTCACAAAACCTCCAAAAAACACCATCAAATCGCACTATATAATATTAACCACGGTACACGTGAACTGCACGTTACGACAATCCTGCCGCTGGTAACCACGAGACGATAACTCTCCAGTGACGTCACGAAGCTCCGCCCACATGCGCAATATCCTATCTTCAGTGTATGTGTATCGTGAGATGAAATCACAGATGTGGAATGAATCACTTTATTGACGTTTCAGCAACCAGCAGGAATAAAACTTATAGTAGTTGATTATTGATGTTTAAGAGAATAGCCTTATTTATTGGCCAAACAAAGAGCGTGAGAGAGGCAGCCACTGCCTATTGTTGATTTTATTGCTATTTAGTACTGTAGGTTGTGAACTTTAATTCATCTTTTTTGCAGATAATTTTATGTCTGTGAAACAATTAAATATTTCTCACATTCACACGTACATTGCAAAATTAAGAAATTAGAGTCTATTATTGGGTTCCAAATATTGCGTTTTTCAACTTTTACTATATTATTAAGTTTGGTCTGCTTTGGTTATGCCAATATATGGAATCACATGATGAACTGAGTATTTTATTTTCTGCTGCTATTGGTATTTATTTTTCAACCTCGATCTTTTCTTTCATTCTTTATTTTTTACTGCCAGACTGACTTGGTAGCTGAAACTTCATTTATTAGCCAATTAAGAGAAATAGAGCAGAAGTTATTGTGTTTATTAAGTTTGATCTTTTTATTTGCTAGTGCGTAATCTATTTGTTATACTTGTTTGTATGTAGCAACTACAAACATGTGCTTTGCTATGTTATTTTCAGGAGAAAGGTCAAAGGATCAGAGCCAGATTAAATGTCAGTTTTCATCCAAACGAATGTAGTCCTAACTATATTGGCCAAATACATTAGTGCAATGATTCCTGAAAGTATATTTCAGATGTTTTCGAGCCTGAGTGTAAATTTACCAACGTTCTCTTTTAACTTGTTTCAGGGCATCCAGAAATCAAATGTAGATAGCGCGTTTAAGCCATTAGTGAAATACATACATCTATTTCCCACATTTTTGGAACTAGAACTGGGATACGCCCCATCTACGCAAGAAATGGACATTTTGTTTAACTGTGGCGTGCCCACACATTTTTGTTACCCGCAATATTATTCCATCGACCGTACGGATGAAAAACAAAATATAATGGAAACGATAGAATTTTACGAAAAGACGTTGAAACGAGGCGTAAAGAGCACTTATATCGATATGTGTTGTGGCGAAACGAAAGACTTGGACTTGGCTTTCTTCGGAGAACTTCAGGGTGAAATAGCAGACTTTATCAAAAACAGTGATATGAATAGTGAGGTTACAGAAGATGAGGGTTCGGAAGATATTTCGAAAATGTACAAGGAGCTGGAGGACTTGAAGAGAGAAACTGCAGAAAAAGTACAGCAAGATCTGGCACTTGCTGAGGATCATGAGGGAGTTAGATATTATAAATGTGAGGCAGAAGAGGATGGCGCTGGACCGTTGGTTTGTGAATCTGAGGAGATTGAGGAAGAGAGTTCTGAATCGACAGTGAATAGTGCAGAATTAACAGGCAGTCGTCCCGAGGACCAAGAAGTTTCCGAAAAAACGAAATTCACGGATTCGGAGGTAGTTAGTTTACCTGGCGTAGAAGAGGACATACGAAATGTTGATGAAGTGCATAGTATTACTGGTAGTAAGAGCACAAATCCGTTTTTATCTGGTATGCATGAAGAATCTGAAGAAGACAGTGGGCCGTCGGTGCTGAATCCGAATAACCCGTTCTTGTCGTACATAGTAGGTAAGTTTCTCTTGTTTGTTATTTTAAATTCTACAGAGAAATCCCTATATCACGAACGTTAAGGCGGTCCCAGACACTACGAGCTACGCCGAACATTCCGTATTCGCCTAACTTCGTGGACCGTGTGGGAGAGTTGCTTCGCTTCGCCTTCGCAGTTCGTGGTAGTACGAACTTTTTCTCGCTGATTGGCGGTAAAAGCTGCTCCTTCGTTACATTTAGTCTGATCAGTGCAGTATCAATTTGTGTTTGAGCGAGTAGTAATGGAGTGGAACAAAGATCTAGTGAATTAATTTTTGGAAAATTTTTGATACACTGTTTATCCTCGTCGTACCTTAAAAAGTTGAAAGTAAAACCTACTTTAAAAAATGGCGTCAAGTAGATTGATTCTATACTTCCCGCGCTTTGATGAGCGGTGTCACGGACAGAATATAAGAGATACCCCCTTCTCCAACCTGCTCCCACCTCCGATTATTTATCTACACCTACAAAAAATTGTTGGAAAGTGATCAGGAGCCCCGAAAACATCCAAAAACAGAGTTTGAGCGCTTTTCATTTTTTTTTTAGTTTTTTGACGATAACAGCCGCAACTGCACCGATTGTTTAAAACCATAAAACTACAATGCATCCCTGCTATAGTACTAAACTGCGGTCAAAATTTTATCAACTTTCGAGTAGTACTTTCCGAGTTATAGAGGGGCTAAGGATTACCGGACAGACAGACAGACAGACCGCCGGAAATGAGTGAAACATTTTAACTTGACGACTTTTATTTAAAGATAGCATCCACCACCTTCTTTTTCGACGTTTAAACTTGTTTCATTTAAAAAATAACAGCACATGATTATGGAAGCTGCAGCAACAGCGACCTGCTCGTCCGCGCCTATGTCCATTTTAAAACTACAATCGAGGCTTTGCAGAATATTTGTTATATCCCGAAATACGAAGTGGTTGGAAGTCAACGCGAACTTGAAGTATGTGCTTCGCCGAAGTACGAAGCTTCGTTATTCGCCGAAGAAAGGACTGACTGGGACCGGCTTTAGACGTGCGACGTTGGCAACGCGGCAAGCCTCAGCTGCGTCCGTCGCCTCCTTACTCGGGTTGCTAGGCGACGTAGCACTTGTATCTCTTTCTAATAGACGTATTGTACGCTAACTCGCGCTTTAGTCGCGTACACATTACGACGTCAGTGGTATATGGATTTCTCTGTATAACTTTAAATAATTGGTGATACATTTGGAGTATAAAAATTGAAAACTATGAACTATGTCGGGCTACCAAAGTTAATTCTTTTTCTTTCATCTTGGAATTCCAATTTTTGATGACACCTCCGTGCATTTAGGCCCGTATCGTCAGTCGTCCCTACAATTGTAGGGCACCTTTATGGCCTCCTTGATTGTCATAGTTTTCTACTTCTCCGTGTCAGCTCTATTTTGAGGTTATGTCACAAACATCTATTTGCATCAAATTGTGCTTGCTTTTGAGTTATATCATGTTTTATCAGCCTGAAATTTCCTACAATTTAAAAAGAAAACATATCTTCACAATAGGAGAGCGCTGACGCTGACACGGGACAAGTGTAATCTAGAAATTTTTGAAGGAGAGAAAGCAGTATGACAATCAAGGAGGCCATTAACGCGCCCTACAACTGTAGGGACGACTTAGCCCAAAAGAAAAATGTCTAGAGATGTGAAATCACGAGAAATTATCTAATAAATTATTATTGTTATTAGTAATCAAAATTGAAATTCCAGAATGGTCCATGACAAAATACCGAAAAACCATATTTTTCCGAGAGATGCGAAGGTACTTCATGGACTAAAAGATAACCCGATAACGTTAATTACAGTAATGGACAAAAGTATATAGACAAATGAATATTGTGCTGTATTTCTTTTTTAACTTGTTTTATTAATACACCAACCTCTATACATAATTCGTTATAGCATATACATAAATAAATTCATTAGACTCCCTTCAATAAAAAATTTATTGAAAAAAATAACTATGAAGGACAAAAATATGTAGATAAAGAAAAACAATTATAGAGAAAAGAAGCAAAGTTCATTGAATTATAGAAAACCAACCATGTTTGTGTTAATATTTTGTAGCATAACTATTATTATCAATCACCGGCTGGCATCATCTCGGCATATATTGTAGAAGTCTCTTGATATAAGATTCATCAATCTGTCTCCACTTTTGCTCTAAAGCGGCAAAAAGTTCATCCTTGTTTGAATATTTGTATCTCGTATTTGCTTATCTAAGTATTCCCATAGATTTTGAATGGGGTTTATATTGGGAGACTGTCAAGGCCATTTGAGAACTGGTATTTTTTATCCAGAAAGAATTTCTTTGCGAGATTTGAATTGTGCTTCGGGTCATTATCTTGCTGGAAGATTGATCTTAAGTGCATATTGTCTTCCATATAGGGTAACATGACATGCTTTAGTAAGTCTGTGTATACAAACTTATCCATAATGCCATCCATTCTATGTAAAGGTCTCATCCCAAACCCCGAAAAGCACCCCCAAACCATAACAGACCCGCCTCCATGTTTGACAGTGGGTAAAGTGTACTTGAGGTTCAACCACTAGGACGTCTAACGTAATGAACACCATCTGATCCAAACATATTGAACTTGGATTCGTCACTGAAGCATACCCTCGTTCAGTCACAGATGCTCCAATCAAACACTGACAATTCCTTTTGTCTCGATTTCGGCTTTTATTTGTCTTGCGGTTTTAAACGGATCTTTGGACAAAATTGCTTTTATTAATCTAACTGATCTAGCATTTAGTTTTCAAGGCCGACCACAGAGGCTTCCATGATACCTTTTTGTTATATTTACAATATTGCCCAAACAGCTTTACGCTTCAGCTTCAAATTTTTGGCAATGTCGACTTGACGTCTATATACTTTTGTCCATTACTGTATATCTTTGTTTATTTTTTTCAAAAAACAAAAAAAAAACTGAATGAATATGAATATGAAAAAATATAGTGATTTACGTGGTAAATTTAAAATGTCGAAATGCAACGTTATTCGTGACGTCCCTACTTGCTACTTGTGACTGTCAGTGATAGACACCCTTTCAGTTTGAGTTTCCAGTTTTTAAACATAATTTGTAGTATTAATATTACCTATAAATACTTTGTAATCACATGGTATGTCAAAAACTCGGCAGTAACCTAATCAAAATACAGTAGAATGACAAGTTATGAGCTATGACGTCGCTTAAATCGTCGTTGGCAGCGCAGTTTTAAATATTTGATTACAAGTAAATATAGACATTTCCATGGATGAAATACGTATATTACGGTATTGTACAGGGTGCGTTATCTATTACTTTTTTCTATTTGAAAAATCAACACGCTTTTTACGAGGTGAAATCGATTTTTTATTGATAAATGAAGGTTGGCTTATGCCATTTATGCATGAAAAATAACATCAGTCATGTGACCACCGCGGCTTCGTTTACAGGCCAACATCCGAACATCAAAATTTTTAATGACTTTTCCCAGAATAATCGGGTCTATGGCAGCAATTTCAGTCCGCTTGCGCTTTAGGTATTGAATTGTCCGGGGACCATTCGCATACACTTTTCTTTTCAAAAATCTCCAATGAA